AAGCTCGAGGGGCTCCATCCCCAGCTCTGGGCAGCTCTCCCACCTGGAAGGACCTTGTATGTGTTTTTTTTTAAATACTCTTTTTGTTTTGTTGTTTTATGTGTGGCACTTAGAAATGATTCCCAACATTAGAATCTTTTATGGCCCAATAAACTTGAGAGAATTGGACCAAATTGGCTGCTCATATTTAGAAGCTTTATAAGGAAACGTATTAAGGTGTAATTGCTGCGAAGGAACAGGCATAGGTGAGGGATGCAAAAAAAAGTCTTCACACTCTGGACAGACACTGTAGTTTTTGTCTGCTGCTGAGAGATTCCAGTCACCATGAGGAAACATGGAGTGTGTTCTAAGATTTTATATAATAGCTTTATTTTATTTCACATTTCCGAAAAAAAAAAAGAAAACATTTTTACAGCGTGGTAACACATCGCCTAAAATTGAAAACATCTGTTTGGCATTTAGCTTTGCCAGTATATGGGATCCTCAGATGACAATAGTTGAAAGTTGGAAAGGAATATCCCCATGCGTATCCCCCTCCTAACCCTCCAACCCAGCCTCCCTATCAAAAAAAAAAAGCCAAAAAAGGTGGGGAGAGAATTTATGAAAGAGAGCCCGAATCTGGAGATGGAAGAAGTTGATAGACGAATATGAGTACATCTCCTACCTCACGATCACACGCTCATAAATAAAAAGGTTATTCAGCAAACTCAATTCATTCATTGGGATTTACTGAATTTTTCAGATGGTAAAACAGTGGAGAAAAAGCAGATCGGATCATCCTACTTTGTCGTGGAGCCCAATAAAGAATCCAGATCTGTGTCTCCCTACAGAAGAAAGTTCATGCCACTGCATGTTTTTTCCTCTTGCTGGGGGTTTTTCAGCAGTGTAGCATGGCACGAACGCACTGAGGAGCCTTTCACCGGCTTCACCTGATACCGCTGGGACTTGAAGTGGGAGCTGCACTACAGGCCGGGATCGACGTGCAGGTCAGATGAGGAGCTAGTCTTTCGACAGAGTTCGGAGGCTGGGTCAGACTAATGTGATTTATCAATATAGTGCATAAGTGAATCATTGTCCTTAATGGCCACGATAATCCCCAAGACAGACCGTGAACATGATTAGTTGAAGAAGTTGGGGTGGGTGAAGGGAGAGGATGTGTGTTGTGGACCCTTGATCATCGGTAACATGCACCTGCAGGGTGTCCATGTATCTGCCAGTACTCTTCCTCTCTCGCTCACTCTCTCTCTCAGACACACACAAACACACACACACACAAAGATTTACACTTCTCGAAGCTTAGCTGACGGGGCCTGGGAGAAAAAAGACAGAGCTCTGTTCCTTGACGCTGGAGCTCGAGCTCAGGTCAAGACTCAGCCCGCTGTAATCCCTCTCAGGTGATGCTGTTCACATTCAGCCGCTTCCAGCTGATCTGCTTAAATATGCCTTCCTCATCCCCTAAAAAGCCCCCTCCTCTCTCTCCTCAGCACAACCTCCAAGGATGGTGAGTGAGAAGGACGGATCTCTGCTGAGATCAGATCCGATGGCTTTTCAGCATTTTTCGGAGACCAATCCCGTGCTTCACACGAATAAAACAAACACACTTTCAAGTGTTAGCTATGGAATAAGAAAGAAAAAAAAACAGACGAGTGAGGCTGCAGTGCTAACATCACCTGGAGTAGAGTGGCATCATGTGAGAAGGTCTTGTTAACAGACGTGCCATCAGGCTTTTTCCCTCCACACACACTTTTTTTCCAGACTAGCGAGGGTTGGTTTAAAAGCAGCTTCTTGGAGCGTTCCCTGTCATTCCCCTTAAACACTTAATCAACAGATTATATTGCGCTGAAGTGCTGTGTTCCAACATTAACACTTACACCCACAAACCTGGGACTTTGTGCAAGCTTTCAGCACACACAGGTCCACAGGCTGATGTGCAGGGCTCAGAAAAGAGAGCGCACTATGTGCAAGTAGCTAAGCTGCATCTAAAAAGAAAATCCACCAAACTTTTGCTGTATTATCAAAGTAAACCATAGAATCAGTTAAGAAGAGTCCACTACCTGAGAGTATCACGTTTTCACTCATTTTCAGTAACATCTTGTGATTTTTAGCACTAAAACCATATTCCCCCCCCACACACACACAAACACATCCATGCTGCAAGTGTCATGCATCTCTAGCCTCGCCCCCTCCAACTCTGCATTGGTTTAATCTAATCACTTTGGTCCTTCAACAGAAAACACGCAAAAAAACAAGCATCTGGGAACCCAGTTAACACAGTTGAGTAACAGATTCCACAGCTGAATCTGATCTGAACCATGCTATGACCTGCAGGGAATTCAAATTTGGGATTTCTGGCTTGATGCACAAAGGGTTAACAGTATCACATGGCAACTTTTCACCACTCTCGACTGCCATTACCTATTCATTACCAGTTAAAACGGCTTAGGGCCCCACTGTGTATCCCTGTTCCTTCAGGCAGCGCTCCTACTCGAGCCTGATTTTATGGAGTCAGCAGGTGGCATCATTAGCCAGAGAATAAAAATGAAAAGTAATACCCTTGTGTCTAGCTATGATATCATAGCAGGGCTCATTGGCATCATTTTCCTATTTCTAGTGGGCACGATAGGGGGTAAGGAGGTGTAAATTTAATATATTCTGTCATCTGTTTTACTTCTTTTTTTTTTTAAAGTGTATATGCACAATTGCCACAGTCAAAACAAGAGGCTGGTTCATGCCATGCAGTGAGTGAGCGACACCAGACCAGCCCAGAAAACCACACAAAGATCCCAATCTTGACCGCGCGCCGGGGGTCACATGCAACGGCAGCGTTACTCCTTGACAAACCCGCCCGCCCCCATTCCCCTCATTATGATGGCATCTCCATTCCTTACACCTCGCTCAGTTATGCGGCTACGTGCGCCATAGCATATCAGTGGCAAAAAAAACTCTCTTTTCTTTTGTTTATACTCATCAGTGTTTGGTAAATTACGCAGGATGTCTTTCATTCCACGTTACAGCAGTTTTGCCTGGGGGAGCCGAGCACGGCCAAACTGAGTTTTAAACGTGCCTGGGTCTCAACACTCCTGAAAGCTTTGGATAGCTTCCCCGTGCATGCCAGACAGGCTGTATATAAAACTGTCACAGGAGCCTTGAGGGCTAGAAAAATATTCAAGCATTTCTAGGCCTATTGGACAATGATCTCTTACACATGCTTCTTTCAATATAACCGTGATAAATAAAGGAAGGAAACAAATACTGAAGACTTGGCTGACTGCCCACTGCTTGCTAGGATGGCAGTTTTGGCCCAAAGTGCTGTATATCCACCCCCCTCAATACAGACGCACACACAAACACACACGTATACTTTAAACATTACAATAAAGGCCAAACCTGTGCATATTTGCACGGGGTTAGCATGACAAGTGTAACATCCGCTCTGAGAGTGAGCGGTAACAGTGTGTAGCTTATCGTCCTCAGCCTGAAGCTGTTCTTGAGGTCAAATGTGTAAGTTAACCTTTTGATCTCGTCCCCGCTGGTTAGGCCACCCCCCAGCTCTCTTCCTTCTTTCTCTCTCCGAACTCTCCCTCACACACAAACAGACAGCAGCACAGATAAAGAGGCACCTAAAGACAAATGTGCACCGCTGGATTTGCTGCTTGACCATCCAACCCTGCAGATTACAGGCGCTCTTAAGGGCGAAACACTGCTCTTACCACATAAATGGCACTCCATATCTTGTGTGCTATCTAAAAGTTGCACGGTGCAATGAGAGAGAGAGATGCAGAGAGAAAGAGAGGGGCTGAAAAACGTGTGTGTGCCAGTACCCCGCAGTGATTGCCTGATTATTTGCAGATGGGCAGTGGAGGGCTTGCAGAGTGTGGAGGTTCCCCCTGGCACGCAGCGCATATGATTAAATATGTGATTGCCTTACAATTTACATGAACCC